ACTTAAAATCTGTACAATAGAGTGAACACCCTTATGTCACATGAGTTCTGTGAAAATTACATGGATATAGAAGAAATCTACCTTATACATGGCAAATGCTCAGCAAATGTTAACTATTATTAAAAGCCTTTGAAGATGGATCATATGATATTGTTGAATGTTGTAGTGGATTATTTTACTTCACATGATTTAAAGTCTTCACCAGGCATGATAAAAAATGTATAATCTTCTATTGAATATTCTTTCTCCCATTTTTCATTGTACTGTGGGCACTGAATTTGGCATAGTAAAAGACAACCACCTTGTCCAAAAGGAATATTCTGTAATCATCTCCGTTATGTCGATTTCATAAGTACTCGGCTTCTCAGGTTAGAATCCTGATTGTATGAAAAGTGCAATAAACTTCATTTCACTTTTGATAGCAATGATCTGAACCAAAAACAAAACCTAGTTGATCCAAGATGATTTGGGATTTACAATCTTGTGCGTTGCATGATCTGCACACCCAAAACAGGAGTATCTTTGAGTTTAGTGCATTTTCCTTTTCAGAAACAGAATCCTTTTAATTAAAAACATTCTTTAAAAGTTCAGTATGTGTAATTGTTAACACCTGCTATGTGTTACCAACAGATGTTTCTTACTTACCTAAGGGAACTGTTATAATTATTCTATAAGCTTATTGGAATGCCATTTACCAAAATAATTGGGAAAGTTTAATTGGTGACTTTGTGTATCATATTTGGTATTTCTTTAAATCCCTTTCCCTATTGCTGTCAATTCCCACAAAACCAACCTAAATCCAGGCTACCAAAAGTAAAAATGTCCTTTTGGGACTCCAAAACATTTACAAAATTGGCATTGATCATGCATATTTTAGTCTTCATGAAAAGTTGCTGGAACTAAATCATGTGCATACTAAATAAAGCACTGTAGAATTTACTTTTAAGGGTTTAGCAGCTAATCCTTACAGTTTTCAGCATGTAATTCTTGAATCTTGATTATAAATTTAAAACTGTATCTTTTAGAAAGGAAATACTCTAACAGCTTTAGAAGAAGTTATGATAAAAATGAGTTTCTCTTTATTTTTCTGAGGTCTTATAAGCAGCAGGCTTTCCGGATTTTTCATTTCTGATACTAATCACACAATTACCTGCAGGCATGTGTTAAATATGACACTGGTTTCAGCCAAATAATGGGCCAATTGCAAACAATGAATAAAAAGAGGCAGCTCCATTTATAACCGCTATTTTCAACAGAGCTCTATTGCAATCATAGCAATCTGAGGGTGACTCATTAATTAATTGATGTTCTTTTTTTATTAGTGCTATTGAGTTAATGAGTAATTTGTATGAGATAATTCTCTGAACACATTGATTACTGGAGATATTTTCTGGAGCTTTCATATTAACGACCTGCTAAATAGGTAGAAACTGCTATTTGCTTCTGTGTGCTTGCTCACTGCTTGGCGGGTTTGAGATGAGCGAAAACCAATGCAAGATGTGTCGAAGTCTTTGGATTTTTGCAGTATTTTAAATGCCCAAGAAGCTTCAAGGCAAGGACTGTCACACAGTAGGCACTCAGTAAGTGGCAACAAATTAATGGCTATATTAAAGCTTCCGTGCTCCCTTAAAATGCACGAGAGTCACATTTAAAAATAACCGTAATGGTGTGTTTAAGAAAAAGTAATGATCAGAAGGCTTTTGTTAAAATGGTATTCTGCACTAATGGCCTATTACAATAAACATGCAGATTGTTTTTGCAACTTACTGAGGTGAACACTAAACATGTTTGGCCTGTATCATTTCTATGAAATTGTTTAAGTGACTATTCAGAGTGCTTTGCCTAAAGTGATACTTAAAATGAAACCACTTGTGTATGGTATGTTTTACTCAAGCTATAATTAAGGAACACCATGTCTTCCTTGAAAATGTAGGATTCAGTTGAGATTTTTGTTTTAATTCATGATGTGGGAAATATGAAACTTGAAATTCGGTCTAACAACAGCTAACACAGTCACTTTAGAAAGATCACTTAAATTTGGATAAATGAACAAAATTACACCTTGCAATCACTACTGCTATTTTTGATCGTTTTTATTTTCTCTATAAATATAAACAGCACTAAACTACCTAGCTCAGAGAGCCTGCATTTATATGGAGGATGATACTTTCTCTATGTTCATTTTCAGAAAGTAAATGTCAGGGCAGGCTCTGGCACAAGGGTTAAGACACCACTTGGGTGGCTCATCTGCTGCTTGGAGCGCCCACATCTGGTGTTGGAGTGCTGGCTTCTCGGTAAGGTGCGTGGGAGTCATGCAAGTTGATCCAAGTACTTTAGTTCCCACCACCTACATGAGAGATTTGGACAGACTCGCTGAGTTTGGCTTGGTTCAGTCCTGGCTGTTGCAACTCTCATTTGGAGAACTGAACCAGTGGATGAGAGATCTTTCTCTCTAAATGCTAATTAAACTTATAATAAATTCTAAATAAATAAAATGTATAATAAACTCTAAATAAATTCATTCTAAATAAATAAACAAAATTATGTGCCCTTCTATGCTACTCTCCTTATTCACTCATGAACGTTATGTTTGCTTTTCAGAAATCACCGTAGATCTCACCAATTAAATGCAATCAAATAGTGTCATACCCCTTTTATTAAAAACATAAATTCAATATAAAAAAAAAAGAATGAAAGAATCCAGCAGATATTTATTTAGCAAGATGAAAGCAAAATTACAAACACAGGTCCGTTTTTAAACTCGTTAGCACGCTGGTGGGACGGTGATGCCTGGCAGATCATCCTAGGCAAGCTGTTTCTAGGAGATGCATGTTGGGAAGGGAGCCTTAGCTGCTTGAGAAATCAAGGGTCCATGGAGGTGTCCTCCAGGCGTGTAGGATGCTGAGCTGAGTGAGGTCTGGGCTTCACAACACAGAAAGGAAAGCTGACAACAACACATTGGGGATTTTGAATAGTCGGGACAATCAGCTTAGTACTTCAAGTCAAAAATGCCATTATTAATGGGCACTTAGCTATAAAATGGCCTCCAGCAGAAAAAATTATTCCTGTCTTGCTTCACAATTTCACGGAGATTAAAGATAAGCTAAATAGATTAAGGCCTTAGTATTTAATCCAGGTGAGCAATTTTGTTCATCGTAAAACACATTAAGTATGAATTCCCAAAGGACCAGGCAGAGGGAAGGTTGGAAAGGCCTTGCTTGGTTGGCAAGGATAGTTGGACAGCTTCAAGAAGCTGAGAGAAGTTGGTTCCTGATTGACAAGATTTTGACATATTCATAAAAAAAGTGGACAATAAGTCAAATCTAAACGTGGTCATTTGAAAGGACTACTGACGATTAAAAATTTCACATCCTTAGGAATTTCCAAAAATTGAAAACTGGATCCCACAGTGCCACCTTACAAAAACCACTTCCCACTTATCTTCCTCTTGCATTTTTACTTTGTTTTTGCTTTGCTTCCCTTCAACTATGTATCTTTTCTATTCATGAAATAGGTAATAACATTCTCACATTAATACTATAGTGATTTCATGGATCCCCAATAGCAATTTTTGAATTTTGTTTCTTCTCTGTGTCTCAAATTTGGGTGACAAGTGGCTTGGACACTCTTAACCATGAAATATTTATAAAAATACATTGTCATTCACTTTTCACATAACCATGTTCTTCAACATAAGAGGCAATGTCCAAATTCACATGCATGTTCATAATAAAGCTTTGTTCTTAAAACAAATCAAGACCACATCGGCAAGGGTTTCAGCTTAATGGTTTGGCCCCCACCAAACCGAAAAAAAAAATCAGGTCTACTATTTAATTTTCATCTGTAATGCATATTGCCAGGACAAAACATATGCAAATAACACTGGGAAATACTGCTTTGTGTACAAGTAGTAAAGAAATCAAAAAGATACAGAAAACCCACAGCAAAAGTTTGCTATAAATCAAGATATTTCATTGTGCCTGTATGGAATAGCCTGGCTGAAAAGTTGTTTGATTCCAAGCAGCACAAGTCTTAACAGCAAAATGTGGCTCTGGGGAGAGGGATTGTATTCTCAAGCTTAATTTCTTCATTGCAACTTAAACAATCATTTTTTCATCATTTAGCTTTCTAGAGATTTCTTCTTTATCATGTCGGTAAGGGCATACCATTTCACTTTAAAAACATGAAATAAGGAGATTTTGGCCCACATGTGATGTAGTTTGAGTTGGTGACATAACGAGAGCAATGAGAGAGATACGTCAAACTTAAGGTGCTTGCTTTTTGGATATTAAAATAAATGCTAGTAACATAATTCAGTAGGTTCACAGTCAAATCTTTTCAGTGCCATACATTTATTAAGCCATGGAGTTATCTAACCCTTAGCTCCTGTGGAGAGTCTGGGGCAAAGTTATATAGGAAATGTGTCATTTTAAAATCATCTCATAGTTGTGATAACATTTTTTTTAAAGTAACCCTTTGGAAAATTTTTATGTGATACCCAAAGGCACTAGTTTACATAAGATGTGTGGCTAAAAAAGCAATGCCAAGTCATTGTGTAGGTAAAGAGCTTATGCATACACAAAAAGACTATTAAAAGAATAATGGTCAAGCTTTAAATTTATTCTAAAAATGGCACTTTTCATGTTGGTATAAAATGAAAGTGCTTGAGGATGAAAGATTTATGCATTGTTAAAGCTGATCTTTAACCCCCTGAAAATAGGGGGTGACAAGGAGAACACTGATAGACTCTTAAATTATAATGGCAATGAGTAATGGATGTTGCTAACATGTGTGTGGTGTGTCTACTTTTTAGTACTTTCAATGGTGATAGACTTGTTTTGTCTATCCGTGTATCATTAGTGACATTTGCTCTTCAACTCTTTACTAGAAAGTTACAGCTCATTTAAAATAGCTGGTAGATACAGAAAGCATAAATATACAGTAATGTAAACACTGATTGTACTAAATGCAACGATACAAAGAAGCAAACGGAACACAAATGGTAACACAATAAAACTGTATTACATTTGTGCTTCAAATATTACAATACATTATATACAATAGTCCAAAATAAACATCTCATGCCAGGTGACACAAAAACGAATAGCAAGCAAAAAAATCCAGCAATATGTACATTACTTTTTTTCTTCAATAATAAACATTCAACTCTGAACTGGGGCAATTTCACTACATACAGATGCAGTCCGCCTTTTATTCCATATAACCATTCTGCTTCCCTCTATCTACGCTATTCAGTAGGTTCCTGTGTCAATTTTTATATACATGTGGAGCAAAAAAGATAAAAGAATGTAGTGCTTTATACTCTTAACTGGGTGTTGATGTTAGATCAGCGAACCTGGGGTGCATAACCTTCTTTCATTAAACCTTCCTCGTAGTCCGTCTGACAAAGGATCATGTTATTCTTCAGGAAAAATTTGTCTCCAACGCAAAATCTGAAAATTAAAAAAAAAAAAGAAAAGAAAATATGTTAAGAACTCCACTCAGCTCCACAGAGTTAAAGTTTTGTTTTTCAGAGTTGAAGATTTATTTTGATAATAATGGTTTCATAATTCCCTGAATCTAAAAAGCTTGAATTAAGAGGTTGCTTTCATTATCAAAATTAAACCATTTAGTTCATTTAATGAAGCACCGCACCAACTTGGAATTTCATATAGGTACAGTAAGGTAAACAGCTGGAGCACCCAAGATGACTTTACACCTTTTGTTTGACCATGAGAATAAGATCTAGTCTACCTATATATTCACTTAAAAAACCCAAAGAATGATAATAATATTTACTGTAGTGATTACGGAAGACTTCATCATTAGCCATTTATTCACATAATAAAAAAAGTAAAAGGCACATTTTTTTAAAAAAAAAAAAAGAAAGTGGCACATTTTAAAGCTTCAAAGCTTTCCTTTACTCTGTTATCAAAATGTGATTGATTTCTGGTAATTTCAAAGTGATTAAATCAAAGTGGCAGTGGTTTTAATACCCAAATCTGGACCATCTTCCTTTTATCAGCTGTGAAAAAGCAGATGATACCTTTTTAAAAAAAAAGATTTATTTGTTTTGGACATATTGGCTAAAATCATCACCTTGAATGCTCCACGATCTCATTTGGGCACCAATTTGTATCCTGGCTGCTCTACTTCCCATCCAGCTCCCTGCTTGTTGCATGGGAAAGCAGTTGAGGATGGCCCAAAGTCTTGGGATCCAGCACCTGCATGGCTCAGATCTAGCCTTTGAGACCACCTGGAGAGTGAACCAGCAGATGGGAGATCTGTCTGTCCCTTTTTCTCTCTGTAAAGCTGACTTTTCAATAAAAATATAGAAAATCTTTTAAAAAAAGATTTTATTGGAAAGGCAGATTTTTATTTTATTTTATTTTACTTTTTAATTTAATTTTTTACCAGAAAGAGAAACAAAGATCTTCTATTCACTGGTTCACTCTCCAAATGACCTCAAGGGCCAGAGTTAATCTGCTCTGAATTCAAGAACTTCTTCCAAGTCTCTCATGTGGGTACAGAGTCCTGAGGCTTTGGGTCGTCCTCTGTTGCTTTTCCAAGCCATAAGCAGGGAACTGGATGGAGGTAGACCAGAGAGAGACAAACTGGTGCCCAAATGGGATTCCAGTGCTTGCAAGGGGGTAGGGGAATTAGCCAATGAGCCATTGCACTGGGCCCACAGATGTTACTTTCTTATAGCACTTCCAATTAAATCAAAGAGAGTAACCTGTTTGAACTATATAATATGAATATAATAAATAATATCATTTTCTTTTATTAATTATGCATTTTATAAATTATTGTTTAATGTGCAAAATTATAATGTTTTTACTAAATGTCCTTTTAGTATGATTCCCCAATGGTGACACTTTGGACACAGTAAAGGTCAGCAATGAATGTATGTGCTTTTCCAGTACATTTAACAATAAAGTAACTCTGGCAGAGCTGTATACATATATTTAATTTTAACAACTTAACCTTCAAACTGTGGTGTTTGCTAGAGTTGACCCAGGAAAACTCCTTGTAATTATACAAGTTGACCTCAATGATCTCTGATAGTAGTCTCTATCAGATAGTCAATTTCCAATGATGCTCAAGCAGGAATCATAAAGGACAGATTAAATTCTGTAGTGAAAGCCACCCTTCAATGTTTTGTGAAGTTGGAAGTGTAGATGAGGTGTAGTTGGACTGATTTATATTTGCAAAGATTGGAATGCTAAACAACCAGTGAACCTATTTACTTTCTAACTGTGGAGCTTTGGAAATTTATCCTTATTCCAGCTAAGTAGATAGAGGGGAAAATAGTGTAATAATAAAAAAAAAAGTAGATTGAAAAGAATTAGCTTTCCTCTTAAAGGAAAATTGGTTTGTTTATTTGTGGAATTTATTATTTTTTTTTTCCTCCAGGATTACTGCCTGCCTGATGATGTTGACGGAAAACACACATTTTGCACTGATTCCAAGTCTTCTTGTGTGTGGTCAAGGCTACTAGATACAAATAAGGTTTAAATCCTAGAATTATTCCTTTAATAGTTAAAGGTGGAAATTCAGTTTTCCTTTTCCTGTAATGCAATCATTTTTACAAGTTAGTTGCAAAGAATGTAAGTGAAATACAAATATCTTACCTCAATGTTTGGACTTCAGTAGCATAAACACCTTTTATAAAGTACTTCCTGTGTGCATGTATATAAACCTGATGAAAATTATTCCTTATATTTGATCTAGAAAGTAATACCACTGACCTGTTCAGAAGAAACATATGAGCTTCCTTCCAAGAATCTTCTAAACCTGCTTCTTTTGCATAATTTTAAAATGTTTACCTACCATTCAATGAGATGTTGGATGTGTTATCTAATATCTCATTGGATGGTAGCTAGTGCTGTGAGAGTGTGAGTGTGTGTGTGTGTGTGTGTGTGTGTGTGTGTGTGTGTGTGTGTATTTCAAAATGTTTGGAGGAATATGTAACTTTTAAAAGATATTTATTTGGGGGCTGGTATTTTTGGTGCATCAGGTTAAACCACCACTTGAAACAAATGAATCCCATGTTGGGTTTCACTCCCAGCTGTTTCTCTGCAGATCTACAAGCTTCTGGCTACTGTGTCTGGCATGGCCAAGGGCAATGGTCCGAGTTCATAGGTCTCTGCACCCATTTAAAGACCAGGATGGTATTCCTGGCTCCCGGCTTCAGACTTGCCTAGATTGGGTTGTTGCAGCTATTTGGGAGTGAAAAGGGGGATAGTAGATCTCTTTGCCTTTCCTTCTCTTTCCCCTACCTTTCAAACAAATCGATAAATCTTTTAAGAAATATGTTTTAGGGCATATGTTAGAAATATGAAGTAGAAAAACATATTTAGAAACATGTTTTAAAATCCTTGCAAACAAGGCCTCATCAGCAAGTTTGTGGAAAACATACATCATGAACAAACCAAACACAAGTTTCCAAACTTTTTGAATCAAAACAACATCTGTCAATTTTGTTTTACATAAACTTTTTCATATACTTTTGTAAGCAGTTTATATAAGTAATAGAGAGACTAGGAGTATAACAGTCCTATCTGAAAGATTCTGCTGCAAGGACACTATCAACTGGAAAAAAGTACATTTTATGTGCACTTTAATTTGTACTTAAAGATCTAGCTAAAACAATTCAGGAGGAATATCCCACTTATAACTCTTACAGCCTTAAAAGTTGTATCTAACAATAAATTATTCGATATGTACTTAAGATCATTATCCTCCTTAAAACTCTTCCGTAAATTTAAAAAGAAAAAAACTCTTCCTTACATTTAAACATTAGGAAATTAGAGAAATAGAAATGTCAATATTAAATGAGTAACAGATAATCTGTACCTGATTTTTTATGAGTGGCTGATTTACAACATTATATAGATATATCCATAGGAGATTCAACACTAGCAGAGAAAGATTATTATTAAAGCAATGATTTCCAGAGAATATCACAGGCATATTAGCTATATAACACAGTTTAATTCCTAATTATAAACTGATAATCTTCCTTATCATATGATACTAATTGCTAGGCTATCATCATTGCAATTAGTTTTGTCTTTATTAAAAAAAATTAAAGAACAAACAAGTTCAATCAGATTATTAAATCACCAAATTTTGATGTCTAGAGTTAACAGTAGATTTAATTTTCAGGCATATCAGAGTGATTCCAGTTGCTTATTCTTACAGTCTTGAGGAATACAGGAAAGAAGGATAAAGAAGAAGTCATCCATGGAAAACACGGGACTTAGAATGGATTGGGGCAGGTCATCAAAAATGTATGCTCAGATGTCTTCATTCATAACATCTTTTTTAAGAGATGGAAATGTTAATTCTCTAGCAACTACCAACTATAATTAATTTCCATTTCTACGATTTTTTTTTCAAAAGGAGTGATCTGATTCAGGGCCACTGCTCTCCTAGTCAGCATGCCCAGGTATCAAAAGATGGAGATTTCTATGCAGTGATGGTTTTAGTAGGAAGTTCAGGTTGGATACTTGTGCCACCCTATAAACATGTGGGCAAATGCACTGCTTCTTCATCATGGACAGCCCAAATGATGTTATGCATCTCATCCCAAACAATCCTTTCTGTACCAAGGTAGATTACACATCCCCAAAATTATCCTGTTACGCAAGATCTATTTTACTTTAACTCTTTGGTATCCACTCACATTTGGATGCTCTTATTCAGAAAATAAAATATTCCTCTTGAGCACATTTGAGTCCAGAGAATGAGATCAGACACCCTTGATTCAAATTTGGAGTTTTCTCTATTCTAACCATAATAGGAGTCTCTCAACAATCATGGAAAATGTGTATTGTGAAAACTGCGAAGTCTCCAAACTTCTTCGCAGCAAAATGAACCTTCCATTTTCCATGAATTGTATGGAGTATCCAGGGATAGTCTTAGGCAAATTTTTAAACTTTTTTGTAAGTGACTTAGCACATAGATGCCAGTCACAACAGCATCTAGCGAGTGGTCAGCACTAAGTAAGAATTTGCTGTTACTATTTGTTCATCCCTCCTTCTCAGGCTGTTGTATATCCAGCGTTTCTCCCTTGTTTCTATAAATGTAAATTCTAAACTGTTCTTAGCTTCCATTTCTTACACCGATGTTCTCTGAACATGTCAACTCGTCTTGTTGTCTCCCGAAGCACCTGTTTTATCATTTAATTTGACCTTTCAGATTTTTGGAATGAATCTGTAACCAGGGCAAGGGTAAATGATTTGAGTTATGTTACTTCTGTAGCCTTTGCAGTATTGCCATAAATTACACACCACTTAAGGTGAGTGGTGAAAGACTATTAGTAAAATAGATTAATTCCATAACTCAATAGCTTAAAATATCCAATGCATTTTAGTTGAATAATTCAAATTAGCATTTGTTTTGACCTCCACAGTTGTATATCCACCTCTGAGCATGCTGTGCCTCTTCCTGTTTTCTGGACACACCAAACACGCCCACTTGCATGTCTCAGCATGTTGGTCCGTCTGCCTGGCAAACCCTGTCCTCACTGCTCCCTGCATTTCTCCTCTTCTGCAACCCTTATCAGACACCTCGCCAGTTCCAGGGAGTTCTTTCCTAGAACTTCACATCATTGCCTTCTGATGCTTCCCTCAAAGTCCTAGAAGGACAGATGTATCTGCCCTTGATATAGATCTGTTTAGCATCAATTACTCTCTCCTAGGAGGCTTTGATGTACTGTCTCATAGCTCTGAATACAACTAAAAAAGAAAATAGATTTGTATCTACTTCAGCCTCTACACAGCTTAGTACAGAGTTTTATTCTTCAACCAAATAATGTAGAATTGTACGTATTTGGAGAGATTCCATTTCAAAATAAGCATTGTTTCCCCTTTCTTATAAAATCATCACTTAGGCAAACACAATTTTTTCCAAGGAGGAGAGTCTCGGTCAGCTCAAGGAAATTAACTCCTGGGTGATTGCTCTAGCATTAAAAGGCTGCTTGGGATGGCTGAGTCACATATTGCAGTTCCTGAAGTTTCACTCCATTGGGAGGAGGTAGGGTGTGGGCCAAGTTCTTGGATCCCCGCTGTAATGTGGGAAATATACATTAAGTTCTGGGCTCCTAATTCAGGCTTGGGCCTCCTGTGGCTACTTCAGGTAATAAGTCACCATGGACAATAGATCTCTCTCTGTCTGTGTGTGTGTGTGTGTGTGTGTGTGTGTGTGTGTGCGCGCGCGCACGCGTGCACATCTTCATCTTTTGGCTTTTCAGTGAATTAAACTTTAAAATAATCAAGTATACAGCATTTTCTGATTCTGAATGAGATACAAAATATCTTTGGAATGATCAAAAATACCCCTCCTCTGAATTCCTTTCAAAACAGAGAAACCTTTAGATTTTTAATTCAGGTTCACACTTTTAGCCATATCCCTCTAAAAGGGGCAGAAAAGATCTGTACAAAGGACACCCAATCTATTTTTTATGACATTCAGAAATGCTTTGAGTTTCAATGGCATTTTGATTTAAGAGCTAAAATAAAATGAATGTCGAATAAAATGCATAAACATCAAAATCTTACAATTTCAGATGTCAATAAAGCTTTCCTAAGGCGAAACACCTGACAACTACATATTGGCCTGGTGTCTTACATGAAAAGGTGCAATGCTGCAACTGGTTTGGCAACTAGAAAGCAGCTCAGGAGTGGATTTTCCAAGAAAACGATGGTAGTGAAAGGAGAACATCCTATATTGAAAACATACTGTGTCTTGGGTGACAAAATTTGCCTGCTCTGCTTGGCTGACGAAGATGAGCTGACTTCTTGCATTAAAGAAGTTTGTCTTATAGGGACTGAAGTGACAAGACAATAACCGAGTGCTAATTGTGCATAGCCAGCACTAAAGATATGCAGTCCCATTACGGCATGTAATAAATGAAGCGAACACAGAAATATATTGGGTCCTTTACTAAGGATCCTAGAAGAGTATTTTGCAGTAATAAGAATTGGAACAGTTTTAGAGTCGGAATTTAGGAGTGTTTTTCTTACATGACTGAGTTCTACTGAGGAGATGGACCTAATTGTGAATGCAACTTTTTATTTCAATGGTGAAATAAAACTGATATATGATTTGTAAATAGCATTAACGACCTACAATTACTTTGCATCAGAGTAGAATTTAGGGGGGTTTAGCACATGAATGATGTTTTAATTCTCTGTGTACAGCATGAGTAGAGTAACTAAGCCTGTCCTGATAGAAAAATGGCCAAATGGCATAAATAGATAGCTCCCTATAAGAACAAATAACAAAGGGTCACTAGTAACCAAATAAACATCAACTAAAATTATAATGAGCTATCATCTTTCATCCCTGAAGGTTACCAGGATGTCTTTTTTAGAACGTAATTACCAGTGCTGAGTGAATGTGAGGGAATACACACCGTTGGACATTTTTTGGTATAAGAATAATTGGTGTGACTCTTTTATGCAGTATTTTGGCAAAAATGACCCTCAAATTACAGTATCCTCTGTCTTGTGAAGTATGCTCCTGTGAATTTATCCTGACACAGACTTAAGTATTTGTTATTTATTTATTTATTTATTTGTTATTTATCAAACTACATGTTTGATGATAGAAGACTGACTTAATAGGTGATGCTTCATCCATGAAAATGAACATAAACAAGCTTAAAACTGTAATGACAAGCAAAATGGTATAAAATATAAAATAAATGAAAGAGATCAACGATCAAACATTGGAATTCTTGCTACCTTTGAAAACCCTGTTTAAATGTGAATATACTATAAAGAGAAACTTGTAAAATATGGACATAAAAATACAAAAAAGTATGGCTAGCTGAACATAAAATAGTGAACTATTATCTTTCAGAATGCTGAGACATAGAAGTTTTATTATTTTCTGTTTCTAAATTTTCTATGTTCTGCCATGGTAAATAATCTTATTGGATAAAGACAATTATCAATGTTCCAGGTACATGAAGATATTCTCCACCAACACACCTTCCAAATATATACACATATATGTACACTCTCGGATAGATGTATTAATGCGAGTGTATGGGTGTGTGTTTGCCTACTCTTATGAAAAATAACATCTGTATTTGCCATTTTTTTCACCAAATATCACCTTAGATTGAATACGTCTGCTTTCATGCCAAGCACTTGTTGTAAAAAAAAAGTTGATGATGTAAGATGACATCATAAACTGCCATCTGGATCAAAATGAAATCATAAAGTATACTCTGCCACTTTTGAAGAATCCACATTTAGCGAGAGACACACACACACACGTACGCACATGGAGACATGCAGGTGTCGGTGCAGATTTGCTGGCATATACGCATCTTACTGAAAAATGCAGAGTCGTATTATCAGGTTCCAGAAGTTTGTAAATGGAGAAATAACTTTGGAAATCTTCCCTATTATACTTAATTTTCCTTTTTAAAAAAGAGTTATTTTGAAATTCAGTGTTACCGACAGATATTAATATACATACAGAGAGCTCTCCCACCCAGCGGTTTATTGTCCAGATGGTCACAGTGGCTAGTCCTGGGCCAGGGTAAAGGCAGGAGCCAGGAGCTCCATCTGGGTCTCCCATGTGGGTAGTGGTAGGGCAAAAGCACTTGCATCATCCTTGGGTGCCTTGATTAGGTTATTACTAAGAATTCAGATCAGAATTCGAACATCAGAACATGAAGCAGTGCCCACAGGGATGCCAGCCTCACAGGTGTTGGCTTTACCTGCTAGGCCACAACACTGCTCCTCATTTTGCTTAATTTTCAAATATTGGGAGATTGATGTGAGTGTCTCTACTTTCAGATGTAGAAATAACACTCAGAGGATCTAGTAACATATTTAAGATCACACAGTTATTATTACATCAGTTGATATATGAGGGTACTTCAAAATTGAATGAAAAGAAAATGCTATTTGAGTGACAAGTTTTTTTAAGCATGGCTTTGTCATAACACACATTTTTCACAATAGTTTGAATTACACTTGTATGGTAGTACTGGAATTTGGGACCAGTTCTTCTAATCCTACAATAAGAAGACTTTTTATTGAAGAGTACCTTTCAGGACCAATTACTGAAAACTTAATGCAACTAATATTTAACAATATAGTATGTTCACGAGTTTTCACACTGTCACTGAATTTATTTTCATTAAAATATATCATGTGACCCAATACTTGATACATTGCATTTTTAGCATTGTATCCTATATTCTATCCTAATATTCTCTGCATTTATCATGTAAAATAGGTGCTAGTATTACATAGCTTTCATTGAAAATAAAAGTGAAGCTCTTAATAAAGAATAATATGATTAATATGTGATGCCTTGAGCTAAAATAGTTCTGAATTGACTATTCCAGTTCCTTTAGGCACAAAGAATCAGAGATGTCATGTGGGTGGTTTACTCTTTCACAGCTGATTTGTGACAACATTCAGACTAGAACTGAAATGTCTGGAACCTTTGTACAATATTCATTTTATCATTGCACCTCCAGTGCTGGCAGTTTTTAAATTCTTAGTTCTATCTCGTTCATTTTCCAACAGATTTGAGACAACTCAAAAAGTATGTATGGAATAAGGTTAAAATTGAGGACAGGAAATCAAGAGATGGGGAAATTATAAATACATAAAAACAAGATGAATACAGAATACCAGCTACACATTCCAGTCTATTTACCCTACTGTCAGTTGGGTTGCTCACCCAATTGAAGTAGTAAAAAAAAAAAGTGAAGATATTTTACAGCTGCTTTAAAAAAAATCAGAAAAATAAAGAGAACAGTGTATAGTAAATAGTCTAAAAGTTTAGAGAAGTGTTTCCCTTCTGTATGTGGCTTCCCTCTCTTACATGGTGACTTCTTTAAGGTAGAAGCATGCATGAAAAAGCTTTCTCTAGTGGAAGGTTCTGGCAGGAAATTCACGCTTGGAGAAAAAAGAAAGGCTAAGGAGCCTCACTTCGTAACGTGGATTAGTACACATCTCA